TTCCTGCTGGGGCTTCTCCGGTGGCTAGTGAAGGGTTGGGCTCCGGTGGCGGCCGTTCCCGGGGACCGTGGGAGTGCGGGTGGCAGCTTTCTCGCCTCCCTCTCTTCGTGGAGGGAGCAAATACCGGTGATGCCTGCGCCTGCGGGAAACGTGGCGAGATTGGGCAATGGGTTCAAGTGCTGCTGGGGGAAGGGACTCTCCCACGCACACACGAGCGGGAGGGAATGAGCGCCGTTTCCATAGGGAAACAGGCTAAATACGCCCTCGTCCCTGCCTGCCACCCGAGCGGGGCTGGGGACGCGCCCGGCCGGAGCCCTCCGCACCCGCGCTTTGGCCCGTTCAATATTCCCCATCAGCGTAAAAGCTTTCATCCCCCGTCTGCTTTCATCCTCCCTCTGCGCCGGCTTCCAGGCTGCACTCTGACCGGAGGAGAAAGGTCTGCAGGCCCTGGGTTGCTCAGAGGAGGAGGAGGAAGCAGCAGTGGTGTTTGCCCTGCCCAGGTGCAGGCAGGGTAAGCCTACAGTCTGCAAGGCCTGGCTTTGGCCACGCGTTATTAACCTCGGCTCAGAAAGGCTTTTCCTTTCTCTGCCCTGGCTCTTCTTGCTGGCTGGTGAAGAAGCGGGGACACCTCATACCCGGGTCAGCAGCCTGGGAACGGCACCCGGGTGCCCAAAACCCAGCATGGGGCTCCCCCCACCCCCATGAACAGGAACCAAATTTCCTCTCCCAGCAGCAGAGACCAGCAAACCCAGTGCTCAGAGAAGAAGCTGGCCTGGGAGGGGGCAGTGGGAGAAGACAGCAAATTCCTGCTCTCCCTTCCCGGTCCGAGGAGGGTGTTTTACCCCTGGGGCTAGATGTCTTGAAGGGAGATGGTGCCTGTGGGCTTCTCATGCACTGGGGAGGGGAGCGGGTCTGTATCCCCCTGGGGAGATGGTCTCCCCACCTCTGCCTGCCCCTAGAGAGCCTGGGGAGGAGCAAAGTGGTCCCCCCAGCTCTGCTGACCCGTGGGGTCCCCTTTGAAAGAGGGGGAGACATTTGTGGATGTGGGGAAGGACAGCATTGCAGGGTGTGCATGGGGAAACTGAGGCACAGAGCAGTGCAGGGTGGGACATCTTGGAGCAGGGATCCAGGCAGGTCTCCTCCACCCCCTGCCACACACTCAGGATTATTGTTGCCTTCCTCCCCTCCGGATGCTGCTGCCACCCTGGGGTCCGGATGCCAGCGGGTACTGTGTGGGGAGCACCGGGCGGGCTTTGGAATGGGTATGGGGTTGGTGTGATGTACTGGTCTTGGCATCTGGAGGAATATAGAGAGTACAGAGAGCAGCTGGACCTTGGTCTCCTCCCGCACTAACTTTGCCTTGCTGGAGAGGGGGTTTCTCTGGGTGCAACGGGAGTGGGCAGGCTGGCCTGAAATAGCAGCGAATTGACGTCCAACTCTTTCCAGCAAACAATGTGGAAAGCGGGGAGTGTTTTCCCACCCTCTGCTCTCGGAGTGGCTTCCCTTGCATCTCTGCCAGCCACAGTCGCATGTGGCAGAGAAAAAAGGGGAACCCCCCCGTCAGGGGTTCCCAGCCTTCCTCCTCCCATGTCTTCTCACTGCCAAGGCCAGATGCTTTAGCAATGCGTGCAGAAAAGTCCATTGTAGGCAGTTTTTGAAATAACTTGCCTAGAAAGGAAGTTTCTGCACTTTGAAGCTGGCTCCTGCCCCAATCCGGGCACATCGCTGCTATTTTTTATTTAAATCTAGCTTGAGGAGTGTGGGGAGAGCATGGGGGGGGAGGGGTCGGGTCTCTACAAATCTTTGCCCCCTTTTTTTTGTGTCCTCTGGACTGAGGGGCGTCACGTGCCCAAACCCAGGCTGGAGTTTTCCCAGGCTCCTTCCTAGGATGTTTTTGTTGCTATGCTCGCTGTGGGACCGGAGACGACGGTCTCGAGAGACCTGTGGGTCACCCGTGGGCGGGCGGGTAACTCTGAGGGCACCGGATGCTGGGGACCAGGCGCTGTGCTTAGAAATGGTCCCTGGGGGACTGCGTGGATTTCTGCCGCAGCTTGCTGGTGCTGGGGACAGGGCATGTTTGTGAACAAGTCCGTGGGCATCCGCAGCTCCCAGGCTACCTGTACCTGTCCTGCAATGGGTTTCTTTCCCCCTGCCGCAGCCTTATTCCCTTTCCTGGCAAAATATTTGCGTCTCGCGCAGGGGAAATCCAGTGGCTTTCGGCAGCCAGTATCACACAGACAGGAATGTCTTGGCACGCGGGGCTTTCCGTTAGGAAAACAGATGTTTCTGCAGCAACTGAAGTTTTGCAAATAGCTTTCCCTGGGCTTGGAGGGGCAGGAGTCAGTGAGGCGAGTCCTATGATCTGCAATCTCTGTACCCCTCTGCAGTCCTTCCTTCTTTTGGGAGTGATTTGGGTCTTGGGCTCCAAATCCTGCCATGTCATGTTGTTACCAGGCTTGGATCAGACCCTAGAAGGGGGGAAGTAAATGCATGAAGGGGCCCAGCCAAAACAGCCCAGGGTGCTGATGGTCCAGCCAGACCTTTGCCCTGAGCAATGCCCCCGCACATTCCTGCCTGGTCCCAGCTGCCTCCCAGGGCTTGGGGGATGCTCTGAGCTCAGAACTGCACCCAGTGTTTCCAGTTCCTTGCTTGCCCCATAGGAGACAGTGGCATAAGTGCCCTGGATTTATTTCCCTGAGGGGGCTGGTGGCTGGTGGGTGCCATAAGTCATTGGTCCCCAGTAGTTGTGTCCCCAGGTCTTGGAGAGTGTCCCCTGAGATGGTCCCCTGCAGGGTGTTCCCCTATGCCGTTCTGTTCATCAAGCAGATTGGGAGACCTGCAGCCATCACGGTGGGCACCTCTGCCAGGGTGGGCTGGGACTCAGGACCCTCGCCCACTGGGGTCACTTTGGTCCCCTCAAAAACCGTGCACTCTCTGTCTCCCTGCCAGGCCTACCTACGAGCGGTCGATGTGAAGATCCTGCAGCAGCTGGTGGTGGTGAACGAGGGCATCGAGGCAGTGAAGTGGCTGCTGGAGGAGAGGAGCACCAACGACAGGCTGGACAGCATCTCCGTCGGTAGCTACCTGGACACATTGGCTGATGACATGGATGAGTATTCCCAAAACGCCGCTGAAACTGCCGCCGCATCTGCGACGGGCAGAGCCCTGGTCAGGGCAGAGCAGGATTGGGTCAGGATCGACCCTGAGAGGGGTCTTGCAAAGCAAGAGAAGGGCAAAGCAGAGCATGAGTGGCCCCACGTGGACCTCTCCCCACCTGGGCTGCCCCAGGATCACCGGTTTGCTAAAGAGCCCCAGGTGGCCAACGGGTATTTGGGCCAGCAGCCCTCCTCTCTGGAACCAGGCAGAGACACCAAATTGCCGTCAGGAGCCGGGGAGAGGCTGGGGAAGGGGAACCCGGGCGGGAAGGCTCGGAAAGCCGAGGCTGACTTTGAGAACTGCAAACTCAACAGCAAACTGCACCTGGAGTACGATGCCCACTGGCGCTGGCTCCAGTCTCAGGACGATGTGACGTTCTTGTAGCCCATGGCTTTGCCTTCCCAGTCCAGCTCTCCCATCTGCCTGCCCCGCTTCACTTGTCTCTGCTTGGGAGAGTTGGGGTGGCTGGAGAGGGGGAGACAGGTTGGCTTGGTGGTGTTGCACTGTTCCTCTGACCCTCCTGTCAGTGTTCGGTGATGCAGCCCTAAGGGACGGGGTGCTTGCCCCGTGGCAAATTTCTGGGAGAGGCGGGATGAGGTGGGTCCCTGTAAATTTAATCCTTTGCTCTGGGGTGGTGCTTGCAGGTGGCTGGTCGCTCCTCTGTTGTGTGTTGATGTTGGTGGCAGGGAAGTGTTGGTGGGGAGACTTGGGACAGCAGGACTTCTGGGACCTTTCTCTGCCTCCACTTCTGCCCTCTAATCCTCAGCTTCCCATCTGCAAAAACTGGGGACCCTTCCTCCAAACCAGCTACCCAGGGAGGACAGGAGATGCTCCCATGCATCCACAGCTCAGTGGCACCAGCTTGTGAGGTGCAAGGTACGGGGCAGGACCATCAGCAGGGCATCCCTGCTGGATGTGCTCATCTCCACCATCGTCTTCAAGGCCAGTGTCCATCCAGGGTGGAGTTGACCTGGGGCACCTGGGGTTTGGCCACAGCACACGGTGGATGCTAAACCCCGCTTCCTGGTGGGTGAAGCCCTGCCTGGTTTAAAAGCCTCTGTGAAACTGATCTGAAGTGTGATCAGGGCGGTCACTGTAGCTGCTCCTGTTGGGCTGGGGAGCCTTCGTCCATACCCTGGGGAGGAAGGATGATGGTGCAGACATGAGAAGGGCAAAACACTGGGTGGGAGATGGAGATCCAGTTCTCCCAATTTGTTTCTGGACTGGCTCTCACCTTGGGACCAGGTCCTGCAGAAAGCCCGGGACGTGGCAGTGTACGGGCAGCCTGGCAAAGCCTGCAGGGCTCAGGCTCACAAAGGCTCGTGCCTGATGCAGCGTGATGGGGGTGATGGCTGGGATTCTCCATCTGTGTGTTGAATGGTGCCAGGTCTCTGCCCCCTACCAGCAAACAGACACATGAGGCTCCTCTACTGGGATGGATTTGCAGCGACCCTCCCCTCGAGACATCTCCTCTGTCCTTTTAGCCTTGGCTTCTGCCTGTGCCTTTTACTGTCCACCCACCATGCCTCCCAACACCCCCGTCGCCCCTCGCTGGCTTGTAGAGCATGGCTTGCAGCTGGAGCTGTGTGCGAGCTTGGGCAGGACCTGTTCCCTTCACTGGGAAGGACCTGGGCATCCTGCAGCCCCTTGCTTCAAGGAGAGGGGCTCTTCCACACGTGTGGACAAGCCTGGAGGGTCCTGGCTTCACAACCCACGGGTGCATCTGTCCCCAGGCGAGTGCTGTGAGCGCTTTGCTTTCACCACAGTGCTGTCGCCCCCCCCTGCCTGCATGGGTCGCAGCCTGGCTCTTTCCTTGCTGGGGTGGTGGGATTGGAGACAACACCTTCTGATGTCAATGGGAAGCCAAGAGAGAGGGAAGACCTGGCTGTGACTATTTCTAGATGCAAGCTGACTGTGGTTATGAAGGTGGTCAGGTGTACAATGGGTTCAGCTTTGTGTCTGTGAAGTGGCACCTTCAGTGGAAACCGCCCTCTGTGCCGAGACTGCCCGAGCACTCTCCCTTCCCCCTGCAGATCCTCAGGGCTTCCCTGGATGGACATGGAGAGCAGAACAACGTCCAAAATTCCCGGAGACGGCACTTGTCGAGGACTTGGGGGAATCCCAGCAAACTGGGACCAGGCTGCCCTGCATGAGCATCCCATCCCCCTGCCCCGGAGCAGCCGTGCTTGGCTTGCTGTCACCTG